GATAGCAACAACCACAGCCTTTTTTCATTCTTTTGGGATCACTCCATCTCGTACTGAAGCGTTAAATAAATCGCGGACCGAGTTCTGGATAATGCAGCGTAATAGCCTAACTATTGCTGGGTGGACGCCGTCTGCCCTGATGCCTTGTTGGCGTTTATCGCTCCAAGGCTCTTTTCAAACTCCGTTTGTGTAAATTCTAGAATATCCATGTGTGGCCCCTGATAGGTAGGCATCTCTAGTTCTGTCAGGTCGTCCTGTCGATACACACTCTGGAAGAACTCCAGTAAGTTATTTCCTTTAGCCCGTTCAGTATGGCTTTGCCGCCGTCGGGGAGAGTCAGTTCCCCCACACCTCGTAAGGCTGCCTTTGATTGAACGTAACTGTAATACTTCTTGGGGCATATTTTGGCTTTGGCAGCTAGTCACACCTCAAATTCGTATTTTGCCGCGCGCTGCACTTTCACAGCATTATTTCGCTCCCTAGTATACCTATGCCAGGCGGTGTGACTATGGCATTGCGCAAACCTTTTCCATTTCCTGTTTCTACGTTGCAGCGCACGTTTCACTGAAGGTGTCAACCACTGAGGTCGATTTTTATTTTTCATTGCAGTAAGCGGGGTAAACCCGTCCATAAGCTCGACTATATCACGCTTTATGGTTTGCCACCTCTCCTCTGCCATGGACATGGCTCCAGTTGGGACCCAATCGCGTTCATGTGCCTTTTTAATTAGCTCATCCCGGTCAATTCTTCCAAAGTTCCTGGACCACTTGGTTCTTATAGGTCTCTTCAGGAGCCGGAGTTCAAATTTAATGCCGCAGTGGTCACTTTTACCTAGCAGTGGGTCTATGTTGATCTCGCACACATCATGCTCACTCGTGGTAAAGACGAGATCAAGGAGAGATGGTTAATGACCCATGCGGAATCTGGGAAAATGGTCATGATGTTTGTGAAAGCGAAGTATAATGGAGAATTGTTGAGTAGAATATGTTGTTTTATGGCTCCGTTTCACACTGTGGCGCAACCCACTCTCAACTTCCAGGTCCTCAATAAATTCAGAGTGATACATTTCCTTAGAACGACTGCATAAGCGCAGATATGTATAGGGATAAACGAAGGTCAAAAAGATGAAAACTTATCGGTATAAAACAATAAATTGAGGAAGAAAAACGCTAATGGTCAGGTAAAAGTGATCGTAAATCAAGTGATACACCCGAGTCTTATGGGGGTAGAAAAATGTGGCAACTGTCAGCTAGGGACACATACTCACTCGTTTATATATAGAAATATTGCACATCATAGGTAAATTAGTTGTATTATTAGCTAATTTTCGGGTTTAGCAAACTAACGGTTGTGCAAAAAAATTGATGTAGCGAGTTATCCACCAACGTTCCCAAATCAGGTAGCGTTTTAGGATTGACAGACGCAATCGCTTTTTTGCCCATTTTGACTAAATTCTCTGCCACTCCGTTCGAATAGGGCTGACGTGGCCGAAATCGTAGATGTCGCCAACCAAAGCTGTCCATTCAAAGCTTTATTCCGGTAGGACAGAACTAAGACCCATTGTCCGTCACAGGCCCTTGTGGAATCCCTTCACAACAAAAACATTTCCGTAGATTTTGTATCACAAATGATGTGGTGAGCGTAGTCGTAAAGAATACCTCTGGCCATTTGGAGTATGAATCGATCAGAAGAATGGCGTAATACCGGTTCCTAAATGGACCACAGAAATCCAAATGAACCCTTTGCCATGGTACGTAACTTTCCGGCCATGGTGTTCAGTTTTTCGGCCTTGTTCGTAGTTTATGTAAACATGACTCACAGTTCTTGGTTGTTGCGTAAATGTCTGCGTCCAACTCCGGCCACCAACACTTCTGTTGAGCCAATGATTTCATCTTCTCCAGCCCCATATGTCCTTTATGCAATTCATCTTGTACCATCTTCCGTAGTGGCGGTGAGATTACCAATCAATCGTCACGACACAACGCACCATCCGATTGCACTGACAGCTCCTCTCGGTGAGCAAAGAATTGAGGATAATTTACCTCTGGTTAACACCCCTCCTTGATCGCTGAAAGTATGACCGAGTAGTACTGCGTGGTAGATTTACGTAAAATTTCCCGAGACACTGATGTTTCTGGGGAGATGAAGTGACACTGTAAAGCCTCTGAAAATCGTGAGCAGCGAGAGAGATCAGCCTGCGGGATTGTCCTTCCTGGACGATGTTCGATGTCACAGTTGTAGGGCGATGTTCCATCTCTGTAGCATAGCAACAATGGACTTCGCGATCTAGTTTTTGGAGTTGAACAAGAAATTTAGCGCATGGTGATCAGTGATGATGCGGAACCGCAATCCGAAAAGGTACTTGTGCGATCGTCAAGCAGCCCGAAATACAGCCAACGCTTCTTTTTGAGTCTGCTAGTATCCCTTTTCTGCCGCATTGGGTAGACGTGAAATGCAGATTACTGGGCATCCTTCTTTTTTTAATATATCACCGATTCCGAAATCAGACGTATAGGTGATGAGTATATTAGGTTTTACGGTGACCTAAATCTGGACGGCGTGGGGTTCGAAACTCTGGCATGGTTGTTAAGTCTGTCTTTGTTGTGTTCAAATTAGTGTCCCTATTAGTTCTCCTAGCATATGTACTGTCATATTGGTATCATTTTCGTAGGATATCATTCTGTTATAGATTGAATAACCGTCGGATTACTAAGTTGCATAGTTTTCTCGCAACTTAGCTATTCTAACCTCATAGTATTTAGTCAAATGGTTGTTGAGAGCATGAAAACAAGAGGGAGGGTAAGCATCTGTACTCTTAGACCGAAACAATTTCCATGTGGGATCCAAGGTTGTGATCAGGAGATGCTCGACGGCATTTGTTGAGATGTTTGCAGCAGTTGATACCACCAAAAGTGTAGTGTCCTACCTAAAATGGCGTACGGGTTCTATACTGAGCACAACTTCCTTTATCGGATATGCTCTGTCTGTGTTAGGACGTGTGGAGAGGCCGCCTTATTGGCGGGGACCCAGCGCATAGCTTTTGAGTCGTTGAAGTCGGCCGCGAGAAATGCTACAGGGATACGACGCAGGGATTACACTGCAGCTGATAAAGAGGTGTCGCATAGTAGAGAAGCTTTGAATAAGCTTCAGAGGGATATTGAAGTCTTAGTATTTGGAGCAAAAAAGCAAGAAGGGAAGCTGGTGAAGCTACAGCAGGAGTTGAGTCAATTTTCCAAGAACATGCCTAGATTAGAGGCCAGCAGTGAAATTACCCTCAGCAGACACATAAATGTCATCATAAAAGGTAGCGCAAAACCCTTCTGCGTAGTCAGACGCCAGAGGGGACGAGACCTAAGGCATTGCGTCATTAATCGCTTGAGAATTGCAGGTGTACCAGGGCACATTCTCTTGAGGAGTGTTCAGGTTAGGTAGGTGGGTCGGTAAGCCAGGCGGTACCCAAGGGGTTGCCAGGCCGATTCTAGTGGAGTTCGGGAACCCTAGGTATAGGGACGAGTTTCTGGCAGCCGTTGGAGGAGTGAAAACCCCAGCGGCAGACATAATCTCGGTACAGCCGGATCTCCTTGCCAGGGCAGAGAGAATGCCGGAATATCAGGAGCGAGACACAGTTGAGGTCGACACGAACCGTTGAATCACTAATCGTTAGTGTCAATCGAATAGAATCTACCGTCATGCCACCCAGGACTGGCAGTATTTGTGAGACATGTGCAAGTGTAGCCAGACGCAGCTTGGCAGAAATAGTTAGCCTCGTCCTGAGGAGAACCACATCAACCCCAGTGTAGAAGACAAATGTGACAAAAAACGGAGAATGAACTGAGGTGTAGCACCTAAGTGCAAGGTCGGTCAGGTTAAAGAGACAGACAGGCCAAAGGTGAACGAGGGACTGCAACTGTTGTACACCAATGCCTTCAGCATTGGGAACAAATGGGGTGAACTCAGAATTGAGTTGATTGTATAGCTGAGCCGAAAATCTGGCTGCACCAGGATATAAAGGTCAAAACGCCGGCACCGCTAGGACACTGCAGCTACAAGGCATATCGAAGTGATGGGTGGACTGGCGGAGGAGTAATAATAATAATAGTTTATTTCTCGGTTTACATCGAGAAGCGCGCAGATTGATCACGATCGAGTGAGTAAAGTTACAGTGATAATTTGTTCAAATAAAGCAGGATGAATGATCAGAGGAGGGTATGGCGGTTATAAAATTTGTTTGTGTACAGAGGGGCCGATTGCGAGATAACGCTGTTTAAAAGGACTATTGGTCGCTGTAGCGCAACGAGTGTTTGACTTAAAACGTCATTATACAACAACGTGGTATACTGTAGAGAAAACAAGTATTTGAATTAGACCGGGCATTTTGAACTGTGAGGTTCTGACGGAGCTGCCTTTCCTTTGCGTTGCAGTTTATCCAATCATTACCACAACGGTGAAAGATCGGCAAACGACAGACGAAGAACCCGGAGACAAGTGAAGGCTCACGTATTGTCGAGTTCCCCCATGTACATTTTCTTATTTACCTTTTCAGTGCCGTTACGTACAATATAATTTCCTGATTCTTCAAGAGTCTTCTCCCGTGATTGCCTGTTAGAAAATTGCGACCCTGCCAGGTTCAATCCCTGAATATGCCGAAGACTCCGAAAAGTGAAGACACGACCGCGCAGATGGTGGACACTAGCGGCACGCAGCTGGCGAATGTTCAGAGTGCGCTAACGGAACGATTAAAAAAACTATCCACCATGGGACCAACAGCGGCCTGCTCAGTCCCGAAGAAGTACAATTTTAGAGACAACTTTCAGTGGTGGGAGAAGCAGGTGTAAATATATCTTGAAAAATTTCCACCTGAACGTCATCCCAATTTGGTGTTATCTTTACACGGTGGAGAGGCCTTTGATGTGGTGACCGAGGTGGACTGCATGAAGGGAAGCGTCACAGCCGAAACATTTGCGTGACTTCGACGGTTATTAGATTTACCCCTGCTGCCCATGGAATATAAGAAGCAATTCAACGCACGGCATCAATACGACGGTGATGGCGTGCGACGTTTTGTGCGGGAATTGCGCCGACTAGCCAGCAGAGCATGGGAAAATGATACGCCCGCGGAACTAGAGAAGAAGCTGTTGGAGCAACTAGTCGAGGGGTCCAGATCTAATAATGTACGACGTCATCTGCTCCTGCACCCACTAGCGGACTTGGAGATGGCTGTCAAACGTGTAGAAGATCTGGAGAAGCTGGAGGCGGCCAATGCAGCACCCCGAGAATGCCTAGCAGTGGGACACTATGGGGCACAAGAAGTCGGACACCAAGCGTGGCAGAGAGGCCGAGGAACGCGACGACCGTGGCGGCCCATTTGTCGGTTCCAGCGCAGACCACCAGCCCCTTGGTATAACAGGACATCCAACTACAGTGGACAACAACCGGGGGAGTCCAATCAAAACAAAATATTGAATATTCCCACCGTTTGCTGCCAGTTGAGTAGCCAGGACACGTTGATGATCGAGATAGCAATTTGTAACCTTATATGCTTAGCGCTGATAAATACAGGTGCCTCCCGATCACTCGTTAAAAGTTCAGTTCTGCGTAAATTGAAGGGGTATACAGTGAGTCCATGTCTCGAACGTCTCACTGCGGCCAACGGCGCGCCAATATCCGTCCTGGGGACGACGGTTGCTACAATATCACTAGTGGGCCAGGCACAGAAGCATTCTATGATTATCGCTGAGGCTATTCCATACGATGTAATATTGGGAATGGACGTGTTGCGTAGATGGGGATGTACTCTGGACTTGAATGGATGACAGTTGGTCACCCCGACCCTCTCAGTTCCGTTTGTGACCCGCAGTTCGATAATGAAAGATGCACGTAACCTATCTTTGAACACAACGGTGTCGTCGGTGGAAAACTATATCGAGAAGTTAGCCAGGGGACTGAAGGATAAATATGATGACAGAACCATAGGCCAGCTAGTCAACACTATCCGGGAGAAAGCCGAAGTGTTTGCCTGGAACAAAACTGACCTCGGGCGTACAGGGGTGCTAAAACATCAAATCGAGACTGGAGATGCAGTACCGATCAGGACTCCACCCCATAGGATACCGATGAAACTGCACGAGGGGGTACGTGATTTAATAACCAAGATGTTACAGAGCAACGTTATCTGGCCATCTAAATCACCATGGGCGTCCCCTATTATACTGGTAAAGAAGAAGGATGGTGGTTTACGCATGTGCATAGACTACCGAAGACTCAATCAAGTGACTAAGCGGGACGCATTTTCCCTTCCAAGAATGAATGTATTATTCGGCACTCTCGAGGGATCAATCTGTTTAACGACCTTGGACCTGGCTTCGGGTTATTGGCAGGTGGAGGTGGAAGAAAAAGACCAGACCAAGATGGCGTTCGTGCTGCCTACAGGTTTATATGAGTTTCAGACTAAGCCTTTTGGACTAACAAACGCACCAGCGACGTTTCAGCGACTCATGCAGGAGATGCTACGAGACCTAGTACCGAGTAAGTGTTTAATGTACGTAGATGATGTTATTATCCATAGAAAATCGCCAACTGAACATCTGCAAAACGTAGCGGAGGTATTACACCGAATTATGGAGAGTGGTCTAAGCTGAAACCCTCTAAATGTATGTATATGCAGCCACAGGTAGCCTACCTGGGTCACAAAATATCTAAGGCGGGGGTTTGCACCGACCCACAGAAGGTTATGGAAGTGCAGTCGTGGCCGACGCCCCAAAATGTGAACGAAGTGCGCGGGTTTCTGGGTCTCGCTTCGTACTGTAGAGGGTTTACAGTCGACTTCGCCAGAATAGCCGCCCCACTAAATGCGTTGTTGGAGAAAGGACAGGCATTTCAATGGGACACAGCTTGCGGGGAAGTATTTGAAATGCTACGAACCAAATTATGTTCAGCACCGGTCCTGGCTTTCCCCGACACATCCATCTCCGGCGGAAGTTTCATCCTCGATAATGATGCTAGTGATGTGACGATTGGGGCGGTATTATCGCAAGTGGACGGTGATGGACGTGAACGGGTTATAGCATATGGAAGCCGCAGTCTTAGCAAGTCAGAAAGAAATTACTGTGCCACCAGGCGGGAAATGCCAGCACTAGTATTCTTCGTAAAATACTACCGGCATTACTTAATGGGGAAGAGATTCATTATCCGCACGGATCATCATTCATTGCAATGGTTGCAGAATTTCAGATATCCAGAGGGGCAAATAGCGAGATGGCAAGAAGCTGTACAAGAATATGATTTTGACTGTTGCCATCGAACGGGAAAGTAGCATAAGAACGCAGACGCCTTGTCAAGAAGACCGGCCCGTAACCATGGGAATTTCCCTTCGTGCAAAGAGCCTAGAGGTGGCAGAGTACAAACGCTGGGCGCACGTTCAGTCTACAGATGCAGAGACGACACTGATTTACCAACTGATGAAAGAAAGCGGGGCTAGACCAGACGGGAAGGAAATGGAAGGGGCCAGCTATGAGAGCAAGTGCCTATGTNGGAGAACTACACGAGTCGGATCATTTTCCCCCAGTCCATGACGAAAGAAGTATTACCGAACCTTCACCAACAGTTAGGTCACGCGGGGACGAACAAACTTGAGCTTGCAGCCCCGCAGAGGTTTTGGTGGCCCCACATGCGAAGGGACGTAAGAAATTTTTGCGCTGCATTTGAATGCTGTGGCAGTTTAAAGAACCCACGAGTGGCCTTCCGAGCCCCATTACAGACAATGTCAGCGGGGAACCCAAACGAAATGATCGGTGTGGATATCATGGGGCCACTTCCCCTGACAAGAAGAGACAATAAATACTTCCTTGTGACAGTAGATTATTTCACAAAGTGGTTCGAAGCGGTTCCCTTAGAACAAGCCGATGCTGCTAAAACGGCCAACGCGATAGTGGAACGGTGTATTTGTAAATGGGGTGCGCCAAACCAGTAACACTCTGATAGAGGAGCCAATTTCGAAAGCGCCCTAATGCATGTATTGTGAAAGGCATTGGGAGTCGATAAAACGCGTATCACTCGGAAGGAAATGGACTAGTGAAGAGAACCAACAGGTCGCTGAACGCACTGCTGAAGGCGTTTACCGACAAGAATGTTTTGGATTGGGACCTCACACTCAGCAATTGTCTGCTAGCTTATTGTAGTTCGGTTCACGCTTCCACGGGGTACACCCCACATTTCCTATGAACGGGCAGAGAAGTCCGACTTCCATCAGACACCAGACTACCAGCGGTAACACAGCCACGTCCCTTGGTGACAGATTACGTGTGCAAGCTTCTTGATACGCTTCGCGGAGCGCAGCAGGCAGCGCAAACACAATTACAAACTGCTCAGCGACATCGAAAGGAATACTATGACAAAAAGTCTTTTGGGACGCCCTGCCGAGTTGGACAGATGGTGTGGCAACATGTCAGTACGCCGAATCCTGGAGTGCCGTCAAAATTACACAAGGAATGGCGCGGTCCGTATAAGGTGATCTAAGTGCTGTCTGAGGTAACCTGCGTAATCAGGGCTGTTAATCAAACTAACACTCAATCTACGGTGGTGCATTTCAATCAACCAAAACCACATGCCAGCAGGAAGACAGTAACGACCCGACACCTGAAGTGGGATAAGAACTCAAGGTACTAGCGCAGGGTGGCATAGGAGTAGCACCGGGGACAGTGCTGTCAGTAAGGAGGAGGCTGTGTAGAGAAAACCACTATTTGAATTAGACCGGGCATTTTGAACTGTGAGGTTCTGACGGAGCTGCCTTTCCTTTGCGTTGCAGTTTATCCAATCATTACCACAACGGTGAAAGATCGGCAAACGACAGACGAAGAACCCGGAGACAAGTGAAGGCTCACGTATTGTCGAGTTCCCCCATGTACATTTTCTTATTTATCTTTTCAGTGCCGTTACGTACAATATAATTTCCTGATTCTTCAAGAGTCTTCTCCCGTGATTGCCTGTTACAATAGATTTCCGTGTATTGAGTCATATGTGTAGATATGCGAAAACATGTTCATGGCGGGAAAATAATAGACATTTCACATGTTATACAGTATATAAAGAGATAAAACTGGTTTATAAGGTAAATCAATGTTTCTATGGCGGGACGAAAAATACGTTCTCTTTGTGAAGGAATGTCAATAAAGACTTGCAAATGGTCGTTCTTAGATGACGAGTCGATAAAGATAAGCTATTTTGTAAATAATGAACGCATGCGTTCAAACTTTTGTCTGCAGATAAAATGTTCATGTACAATAATTATTTTTCTGACGTGGGAAGGCTTCTACCACTAAAATCATGTTGTCTAATAAGAGGTTTCGAAACATTTTTATCAAGGAGCTCCGTGAAACCCTAGGGTAATAATAACAAAAGGAGTACTCTTCCTGTTCTGCACTGGTGCTGGTAGCCAACGATCATAAGCAATTGACTGGGGCAGTTAGTGACACCAAATATTCAAGCCAATTCTTGTTGCAATAAAGCACCAGGAAGGGGTAACTGGATAGCATGTGTATACAGAAGCCCAGCATCAAGTCAGGACGAAGATCGCCAGCTGCAGTCATTTCTAAAGACTATAGGAGAGAGGAACGGAACTGTAGTAATTGTTGGAGAATTCAACGCCCTTGAAGCAATGTGGGAGGAACTGATTGCCCCGCCCAACACATTTGGGGACAATATAGTGAAGTTGGTACTAGACATTGCTCTTCTTCAGCATGTCGCAAGTCCAACAAGGTGGCGGTTAGGGAATAACCCTGGGCTTCTGGACTTGGCGATCACGAAACATTCCAGTGAGGTCGAGTGCTTGAGAATCACAGAGGAATTTGCACCACATTGATCTGTTAGAAAAACGGGATGGCCTGCCTGGTGGATCAGCCGGGCCACTAAAACACGGCAAATGAAAAAGCAAGCATGGAGGCCATTTAAAAGAAAAAAGAGTCATAGATGCTTGTTACAATACAAGGGGAAACGTGAAAGAGCTAAAAGATCTCAGATGGGTTGCCGCCTTCAGTTTGAACGAAGACGACAAACAGAGCAAAGGACTGCCCGAAGGCATACTATAGCTATGTCCAGTCTAATGCAGCTACCAGAGTAGCGGTAGGATTCCTAAGGTACGTTCGGGGCCAGCGTGCATTGACCAACGGCTAGAAAGCAAGGAAATGCGTAGGTTTTCTGAAAGTGTCCATGTGCGAGACCCCGGTAAACTGCCCGGTAGGATGCTGATGAACTCAATCCCCGTATTGAATAACTTCCATGTAACACCGGATGAAATAAGGGATATAGTCCAAAGCCTAAATGTGCACATGACCGCAGGACCGTATGGAATTCATCCCGCCGTCCTTTAACCCATTGCAACGATTGTCGTGGGACCCCTCCCGAAGCTGCTCAATTGGTCACTCCGTATTGCGCAGCGGCCCAGAGATTAGATGACGGCTGAATAATTACCATCATTACTGTTCGGCCCCTCAGAGTATCCAACCAAACATAGTGCGCACAGCATATGGATCTCAACGGACTCCCAT